GTGTGTGTGTGTGTGTGTGTGTGTGTGTGTGTGTGTGTGTACACACACACATATACATACCACATCTTCTTTATCCATTCATCCATTGACGGAGATTTGGGCTCTTTCCGTAGTTAGGCTACTGTCGATAGTGCTGCTATAAACACTGGGGTGCATGTGTCCCTTTGAAACAGCACACCTGTATCCCGTGGATAAATGCCTAGTGGTGCAATTGGTGGGTCGTTGGGTAGTTCTATTTTTAGTTCTTTTTGAGGAACCTCCATACTGTTTTCCAGAGTGGCTGCACCAGCTTGCATTCCCGGATGAGTAGGTTTTAAAATGAGATGGGGAAGGGTGCTTGGGTGGCTCTGTCGGTTAAGCGCCTGACTCTTGATTTCAGATCAGGTCTTGATCTCAGGGTCATGAGTTCAGGCCCTGCGTTGGGCTCCATGTTGGGTGTGGATCCTGCTTAAAAAAACCAAAAACCCAAAAAAGATAGTGGTGAGGGTTGCCTAATCACCACTGAATTATATTGAAAACCACTGAATTGCACACTTTAGAAGAGTAAATTTTGTGGTATGTGAATACAACTGTTATTGTAAAAAATTAGCATTAACAGACGAACGTTTGTATTTGATTTTGATGGTAGGGAACATTAACTATGTACCCCAGAGAAGCAAATGTTTGATCTTCTCTCCTCCCCCAAGAGTTTTGTCCTTCTCATTAGTAGGGCTGAGAACAGAAAATCGTACTGAATTATAGTTTGAATTCCATCAATAAAAACACTGTGAGACTTTCTCTGCTTTTTGTAAAAGTACTTACAATTATATCCTTGGTGATCCTCTTGGCCTGCCAAGTTGAAAATATTGTCTGGCTCTCTACAGAAAACGTTTGCTGTTCCTTGGTCCCTTGCTCCAGCACCTTGTTTCTTCTGCCTGGTATCTCTCCTCTAGTCCAAACTTCTCTTCGCTCTCGCAAGGCTCCACCGCAGCCACCTTTCCTTCCGTGGGAAGCCTCCGCCTAGCAGCCAAGTGAGCTTCCTAAGTGCTTCTTGTACCATTTCTAATAGCAACAGCCATACCCCAGTCATTTGCTTCTGTGTCTGTATTTCGCACCAGACTGTGCACGTCTGGCAAGCAGGGACTCTGCTCCGTTCGTTCTTATAATCCCTGGTGCCTAAAGAAGACACTTCAGTCGTTACTGGATGAATGGGTGAATCCACATTCGTGCATAAACCTCGGGATGCCAAACAGGAAACATGAAGCTAATGCCAGATTCCCGTTGTAAGTGAAGAGCTGCAGGAGCTCTTCTCATTTCTCCATATGCTTGACCTAATACGTTTTCTATGAAAAAAAATATACAGCTTTAAGAAAAAAATTTAAAAAAAAATTTTTAATGTTTATTTATTTTTGAGAGAGAAGGAGATACAGCATGAGCAGGGGAGGGACAGAGACAGAGGGAGACACAGAATCCGAAGCAGGCTCCAGGCTCCCAGCTGTCAGCACAGAGCCCGATGGGGGGCTCACACTCACGAACCGTGAGATCATGACCCCAGATGAAGTTGGACACTCAACCGACTGAGCCACCCAGGCACCCCCCCCCAAATTTTTTTTTTA